AAAAAAAAAAAACTGAAATTTAATTCTCCATTTCATCATTTTTCCAACAATAAAAATAAATTTGGATTGAAATATTTTAATCTAATAGTCAATAAGTTAACCAGAATTTCGTTATGTAAATTTAGAAAATTTTTAAAAGTTAATAGATTTTAAATTTAAGCATAAATTCCAAATTTCGTAACAACCAATAAATCATTTATGTTAATGAAGAGGAAGAAGAAAAAGAAAAAACTGTTAGCGAATTTCTGATCAAACAGTATTCAGTTCGCTTAATAGACGATCAAGTTCCTCCTGTAGTTGTTTCACTTTATTGTCCGAATGTTCTTTTGCTTCTGAAAAATAAGTTGCACACTGATTAATTTATCACTCTGATTTTAAAAAGTAGGATTAAAAAAAAACGTCAAAAACTGATTAAAATTTTTTGAGAAATACACACTGCAAAAATAAATTAGATTCTATTGAATTCCCTCTTTGTATGAATTTGTTCCGTTGAAAAATCCATTTTATTGCTAAAAATTTGTCAGTAAAAAAAAATAGAATTTATCCCAATTGGTAATTGGTAAAAATAAAAAATATACTTTACAAGTGATCAATCATTATAACATCAGTAATATTACTAAGATGCGTCTTTTAGCAATTGATATTATTTGTTAAAATATTTTTCAAATGAATGTATAGAGCTTTAAATTGAAAGCAAATTAGTTCCAATTGTCAAATCAATTTGAAATTTAAAAAGTTACACAAGCAATCCAAACCAAATCATTCCAATCAAATATCAAAGAAAAATATTTAAAAAAAATAAAAATATAGTCATCATGTAGGAAAAAAAAATGCAAACATTCATTGCAATAAAATAAGAAATTTTGTAAGTTTGTTTAGTAATTGAAGAAAAGTTTATTAACTTAAAAGAAATGATACGATATTTTTTGGTGGAATAAAATGAATGCAGCAAATAAAATTTTAATGGCACAAAAATTCTAAAAAAAAGAATTTTTTTTAAATGATACTAAATTAATCAGGAAAATCATGATAATGAATAAAAATGGAGAGTAATGTACTAAATTTAAAATGATAATTTATTATATACGGTAGTTTTTTCTTCTTATTTTTTTTAAATGATAATTTATTATAATGGATTGACCATTTTAAAAGTATAATTTATTTAGAAAATTCTCAAGCGCTTTTTTTTAGAAAAACAAGGGTTTATTAATTATTAACTGGAACTAAATGTTGATAACGTTAATTTGAACTAACCTAATGATGAAAACTTTTTGAAACTTTTTGCTGCATTCAATATTTCTACCCATATAACATGTAAGAAACAGATGCACACGTAAGAAACACACGCAAGTACACATGCACATACGCTCAAAACAAAAAATAAAAGAAAATTGACGAACGAAACGGCAAACAAAAAGTCAGTACGGTGAGCGAATAGACGAATAATTCAGGAGGTTTGAATCTCCTGGACGGTTTGCTCGATCTCTTCCGTTAAATTATGCACACGTTCCTTCTCGATTAATAACTCATCTGTAGCTCTCATTAATTTAAAATTTTGATATATGACATCATTAACAATAACACCAACAGTAAGGACAAAAATTAAGGTATTACATATGAAGAAAGATATAGAAATGGTATGGCAGATTTAACTTATCTCAAAATTTTTTTTTTTAAAATTATCATTCGTTTTTTATCTGTAAAATGGATCTTTTACATTAGAATCTAACATTTAATTAACTTAAATTTCTGAATTTGCAATACATTTTGATTAACCTAAACCAGATTACGAAGCGCGCCACAAAGATCAAAAAGATTCTCAGCTAATTAAGACATAAGTTTGTCATTTCTTATTATATGTTTGGAAGTCCAA